TTGAGCTAGCAGTAATTAATGATGATGAAAATGTTCCCTGAAAAGAAACTACTGTCAGCAGCTGAAATTTGCCATAAGCAAGAAGTTTCAGGAAGGTTTTTACTATGATAAAGAAAGTACGTAACACAAAAATTAAAAAAAGCATAAGACTAGTAGTTAATACTTGGTGAAAACTCCTTGAGAGCTTGGAGCTGCACTGACTTATTCAAGCTTATACATGGACAGTTGGATTTAAATACTGAAAAACGTCATTCCAATGGTTTCTCTAAACTTCCAGTTCTCATCCCGTGTGCATTCTGCTGTGTTTAGTATTCGTTGGAGCGTATCGCATGGAAAATCAAACAGAGTATTTTAAATTAGGATACAGGTTTCAGCATTAATAAAAAACAAATGGAAAGTTACATTGGAACAATCGGGATCAATAAAATATTTTTAATGGTCTTAACATAGTTCATTCAGGAAATTTGTTTTAGTCTAAAAGATTGTGAATTCATTCACAGAGGAAAGTGGAAGGCTAATGGTACCTGGAATACTGACACACATTGCTCATGAGGCTAAGATGACAACATATGTCAAGACAAGCACACTTACATCACTTTAAAAAGTTAAAGCCCAAACTAGACACTTTTACTATGTAGCCAGTGCCATCCAGGCATACCAAGCAGCTCATAATAAGAACTCCCTAGAAACTATTTCAAGTTTGGCAAGTCTTCTAAGTTAATTCTTCAGTAGTAAGGATTATCAAAACATTTACTACAAAGCAAATCTTCCAGAAGAAAAGCGTGTGGGGTTTGTTTAGTGAAATTGAAGTATTAGAAACACAGGTTTAGTTGAAATAAATGAAATACAGAATATCAAGCCTCCACCATACAAAGCTCTTCTAAAAAATCTCAGTTCTAAAAACCTATGCAAAATTCAGAAAAGCAAAAAAGAAAAATAAAATCTCAAGCCACCATATAAAATAACGGTAATAGAATCGTAACTAATTAGACAGCACAGCAAACACCTTTAGGTTCAACTACGACAGCTATTTAGTTTACTAACCTTCTCCTAAGATGTTTTTATTCATTGCAAGAAATTTGCTTTTAACAATTTAAAAGAAATGCATTGCATCAAAACAATTACATTATAGTCCCAATTTTTCCTGGATAAATTAGTCTGTTGCTAACTGCGAACAGCTTTTTTTTTAAACTATCAAAGCTTTGAACAAAAGCTTATGACAAAATATAACCAGATATAACATAACCTCCCTAAAGCCTTCAGTTAAAAAACAACATAAAAATAATAAGTCTAGGTACCAGAAAAGTTAAGGGTAAGTACATCCTTGGCATGTTGCATGAGAAACAGACTGTCTGGCCTTTTTTCTTCACTCCTTTCTCTTCCCCCCAACTTTTTCTTCAGTTTAACACCAGGACATGACTGACATCCACCCCTAAAAGCCTCCTCACGGCCAGGGAGGGGGAGGAGGGCAGCCAACTTCATCCCTTTACTTGGTGCCAGACACTTGCCAGACCAAGACGG